TACGGCGTCTCTCATATGATAATCATATGGTGGTTTTGGGACGTTGAACCCCACATATCAATCAATACAAGTCTACATAAAAAGTGCCCCACTGAATCAACAAAGGCTCGCCTTCGAAGGGTGTAAACGTAGCAAGTTTGGCCGAATTTAACTAAAGATTGTTACCAGGAGCCTGGTTATTTTTACCAAGGTACCAATCAAGATAATTATTGCGAACTGGCGGCAGAGAAATAAACCAGGCAAGCGCATAATGCAGACGTCTTCTGCGTCATTGCCGGTGCAAATTTTCGGCAGCTCCATTATTCTGAATACGTTGGTTTTAAAACGTTTGAACGAAGACTCTAGTTTGTTAGTTCTGTCCCTCAAATACCACTTCCGTCATACTTTCGTTGCTGTGACCAAGTTGACATCACACACAGTGTGGCCAATCACAGGAAGCCGAGTGATCAGTTTGAGGCAATCTATAAAATAAACTTATAAGCCATGTGCACATCTGTCAAGACTAATTTTGCATAAATTATGGAAGCATGCTAAAGAGTGCATCCAGCAAATTTCATTAAGATCCAATGACCTGAATTAACCAACTTTTTTCATTTCCTAGCAGTTGCCCTACAGCGAACTCATATCCGAAGCATCATTAAATGCCTTAAATCCCTTAACTGGTTTAGCCTTTCTCTTAGGTTAAGTTAGAGGTAGCCTATACTCGTGAAATAACATTATTTAATAGTGAAGAAAATGAAGCATAAAGTTCCATTGATCAAATTAGCTTTCGAAATTGAACCCCATCTTCCCTTCACGTACTGGCTGAACATTGCAACCCCCCTGTTATTCGACAAGTTTACCAATTCAGGCTAACATTCCCATTTCTCTAAAGCCAAATTTCATCCTGCACTTCGATTTTGTGTTTGTTTGGCAGACGACTGCTGTGGGACATAACTTTTTCATGTAATAGCTTACTCATCAATTTTGTAAGAAATGACGAAGAGTACTTAATTTAGTAATAAGTATAGTAAATTACAGCAGCAATTGAATTTCATTTTTAAGTGTACCCTAAAATTTTATGACCAAGAAATTTTCGTAAATGGAACACACAAAAGCAGCTGAATGAGAGCGCATTTTGTCACATAACTTCCTTCCGGGCAAAATTGACAACTATCAAATTTTGACTGACTCCTCAGCAAGATGCGGTAGCACTGCTGAAGACTTTTGCACTGGGTGAAAATAACACAAATTATGAAAAACTACTATAATCAGTTTCCTCAGCATAATATTCCTGCTGGAAATCATTGTTTGAAAGTGGAGCAGGAAGTCTATGCCTTCATCTACAGTTTCTACTTTCTCTGCACTACGTGTCTCCGAGTCTCATTGTTTATACACCTGCCAATTTAGGCTAATCTACAAAATGCTGTGTCCACCTGGTAGTGCCTGTCCTTATCCAGCTGCAATAAAAATTGAAATAGATGGCACATAACGATTTAAAAATCTATTCATGCACATTTATCTTTCCCAGGACGACACCATTGCAAGGTCATTGACTCTTCTGGACACAACACTGTAGCGCTGGGCGTCGAGGGTTTCTTGGTCCTTCTGAGAGCAGCGCCTACAAACTACGATCAGTGAAGAGCCCCTACTCGTATACTCACCCTTTGCGTTAAACTTAGCCGTCCAGTGGCTCCATGGGCCCCTATGTTTCGAGCGTATGTCGCATGGTTTCCCTGGACAACCTATACACGTGCGACTACACGAACCAGAGTACAAGGCATTGCGCTTTCATCACAAGTATGCAAGTATAATGGGCTCAGTTGCATATTGCACACTTATGTTCTGTTATCTATTATAGTTTTACAATAGTATGCTAAGGAGTTGTGACAATGGGACTGCACAAGAAAAAAAAAGTCCAACATAAGCAGGACAAAGCTTTTTGGTTTGCTAGTTCAAACCTGCTCAAGTGCAGTCTTTTGATACAATCATTTTTCAGAGAAATACACTGAAAGCTGTTGTGCAATGTGCTGCATCGGAAAACGCACCACGTAATGTTGATACACCGCGGGTGCGCTTGTTTAGGCAGATGCTTGGCCAGAACTGCTGCCGCCGCTGCCAAATATGCAAGGTACAACATGGGCCATGCTAGCCAACTACGAATCTGCAGTGCACTTTTTCGACAAACGACATTGATGCGACCAAGTACAGCTTGAGCGCGTGAATACGAATATCGAGCGACCTGCTTTAGGAAGCCGTAGCTTTTTTTTTATTATTCTTATTCTTAGGGCAAGCTAAAGCAGAAGACCTTATATTACTAGTACATTAGCGACCCCGTTTTTTTTTTTCTTTTATGGGAGTACCGACATAAAATGCTAAAATTGAAACCCGTCACACGCACAAAAATGGGGTATTTTAGCTAGATCTTCTTGCAGCCAGCTTCGAATTGCATGACGTAGGTGTGAAAACAATACAAAGGCAGCCCTTGAAAGTTTGTAAGACTCCAAAGAGCATGGCCACTCTGGTACATGCAGAAGCACAGGTCAGCAGACTAGCTGGCCATTATCTTCCTTCAACACTGCAACCATAGTACAAGGATTTCAGCATCCATAGCCTCAGAATTTAATAAATGTTCAACAGTGAATAATTGCAAACAAGCTCAATCCATCACACTTTGAACATGAACAGGTTAAGCCGCATCTCAACTCTGAAGTCTCTTGTCTTTCTGACACAGGCTTAAAGGCAAACCTTTGAATGGCATCACAACCAATACTTTTCGAAATTACGAGATGGTCTCCTTAAGCTGTATTCGGTGTATGTAGAATGAGAACGAATTCCAAATTAGGCAAAAGGGGGAAGAAAAACTGGGCGGAATGACAATGAGTAAAATGCCCTCCACATATACAAAATTCAGAAATGCTCCTGCGTCACTCATGCCTCAGGGTTGCATATATCGCAGTGAACATACACCACATAAATCGCAGCAGTTTGCGACATTTTGTAACCGCTGCCTAAGCTACAAGCAGCTGAAAGAGAATAATTATTCCTTCCAAACTACACACTAAAGCAAATGATATTCCATCCCATGGTAAACTAATTATTACGGACCAAAACTAACCAAAAAAACTATGTCAGTACTCCTGTAATTTTGCAGTTGGCGCTCTGAGTTGTGCACTGCCCTTTCCTAGGAACCCATGAAACTAGCCTTGCTGATGTGGTCGGTCAAAAACAATGCATTGAAGAAAAAAAAACAAGATTTTGCTCATAGTGACGTCCACCCCATGCAAGGTCAAATCCTACAGCTGCCCAAGCAAAATGCCAGTCTGCTTCCAAACAAAACAACCGGGGCAGTCATTGAAGAATATAGTGCTCCAAGTAAGCAGTCAGCAATTGGCTTCCAGTTTGTACTTTCAGGCACAACCACAGTGACTCTGCAGAATGTTGTGTAGCCTTGTGCCATTGCCGATGCAGTTCATGACCCAACGGACAAATGAAAGTGAACTTTTGCCTCTTGTAGGAGCATTAAACTGACCAACTAACTCTCGGTCATAACAGCTGAACAACCGCTCTACCGCTGGGTGGATTATGAGTGAACCCACCTGTGTTGCACCTGTTCTGAGTGTTCACACAGTTCTCAAGTCATGTAAATTTCATCCGCCCAAAGTCAAAACCCTCCCCATTAGCCAAAGCAAACATCTTCAGATCTGATGCATGCTCTACTCATTGATAAGTATACATTCATGTGGCTGTGGTCCACATTGTCCCCAAAATTATAAAGCGAATGCCGATCTGTGGCAACTGCCTGAAGCAGTTTTTCACTACAAGAATGTAAGAGCAACAGTGGCACTTATGCATACATATTGTTTGTTGCAGCTACTAATGGGACTAAACCTCACCATAGCACACGGTGCATTTACAACAAAAATAGTGATCGATGCACTACACTGCTTGCGTCCTCATGTCCCGATACTCATTTTACTGGAAGAGTGGAGACAGCAAATAGGACTTGGCAGTTTGTGCCTGCACAAACCTACAGTGATCAGTGGGCGCATATTGCAAGACAAAAGCTCGAAATCAGGGGATTGTCTGAAGCATTTCCGCAATCTAGTGAAACAGAAGGCTTCCATAAAAAAAAAAAAAGATGGCAAGTTATCTAGTTTTGGAAGTGTCACAATATAATAGTGAAGGCTTGGCGTAAGTAGTCTTCTCTGCACGTTGCCAGATATTCATATATGTATATTAAAGAAGAAAAAAATATACAAAGTCCTGCTATTTTTCTTTCACCCAGCCCTCTTGCTGCAAAGGGTTCCTGCTGTTAAAGTGTATTCGTTTCACATCCCTTTTCCTTTCCTACTGAGCACATAACCAGACTGCTAACAGAACATCTCTTTGCCGCTGCATTTAATAGAGCAATGCCACCAATACAGTTTTGAAAAAGTGCAGCTGGGACATTTAAAATCCATTTCAGCATGATCAGCACGAAGAATGCACAAATCCTCGAAGTGAGCTGCAAAGCGATGAGACTATTTCTGAAGTGGATATCAACTGGGTATCAAGAATCCTATTTCAAAATACAGTCAAGAGTTGTTCACCTGTTTTATAACAGTATTAGCACCCCTTGTGTCAAAGGATTCTGCACAATAGCTGGCTTTTTTGGTGGAACAGGGTTATTAATAAGACAAGAGTAACACTAATGCAAGCGATGTTCTGTCTCATAGGTGTGCTTGAAAGAAAAGAAAAGGAGATGTGAAGGCAAGGCCAATTATAAGGCCCCTCTGAATGTTTTCCAAGACATCTGTGTACAGAGTAGGGCCCTGCCAAAGTACACAAGTATTGACTGAGACTGTGTGCTGTACTAATAAAGTATAGCTTGCCATATAGCTCTAGTATTTATTAACGTTTCAGGTTGTTGTGCCTAGCCAGAAAAAAGCGTGACAAATTATGAGATAGCACGCATATTTTAGAGGTGTTGTTTGTCAAAGAAGTAATTCAATGCCAACAAATTCTACTATGTAGAGGAGACATGTGCTTTCAGAGACGACGTTCAGTTGCTGGGAAAGGAACTAAAGTGTGAGGGGCAGGAAAAAGGCAACTGAGTGCCAAGTTGAGGATTGATTTGAGCATAGTGCACATGCCCAGCATCTGCACAAGAGCAGGTAAGTTCCTGTAGGCAATCGGAGAGCTAGAGTGTCGCAGACAGAACTCGGGCACACAGCCTGCTGCAGCAGCCTGTTGCCTGCAGGAGACATGCTCCAGCAAGACCAGGCAACTGCATGCAGAGACAGTGCTTTTAATAGGAGTTTAAAGTTTCTAAAACCCTTGCACTGGAGGCAACAGCTCTACCTGGTTGCTGCCATATGCTGATACAAAGTCGCCTTACTGTGTTACAAGGGTGTGTTTGTATGCCAGTCAAGATTATGTCACCCGCTTCGTGTTTGTATAAAGATCGCTATTTTTATATGTGTACATGAGTAAGCCCCTGCAACATGCTAATGCCTATCTCTAATTCGGCAAGCCATGTGTTATTCCTTGCTGTGTTTCCAAAGAACTTGTACTTGGCCAATCTTTTACACCATTTACAATGATTTTCAGAATGGGCTCGGTTTGACCACTGTTCTCGAGTTGTGTGTCCCTTCCCAGGCCTTGTGTCTTCCATGTTAAATCAATGAGCCCTCGGGATTATTTATGTAGCCACGTAACCTGCAAGAGAAATGCGCCACTATGGGAGCTCCATTGGCCCAACTAATTTTCATGTAGGCATTTTTGGTGTACTTCAACCTGCTGTTTTCCTTCTGGCATAAGTCTGCGTTTATCTTGAAGACATGTGTATAGTACTGTGTAAAAGCAGCCCCACAATTCTGCTGCAGGCCTGGTGCATAGAGAGCAAGGTGGCCCTCTTGCAACACAGAAGCATTTGTGTGCATGCCAGTTTAGGATGTGTGTTACAGATGTTTATGTCCTGGGTCACATCCCTCCATGTTTACAGTGTGTGACTGTTGTATGTGCAATGATCACGTCTTCTTCAGGTTTACTGCATGCCATCCTTGTAAAATACAAAAAACCTGGTTGGCGCTGGTGAGACGGCTCAATAAACTGGGTTTCTCAAAGTGGCTTTTGTATTGTGTAGCAAAATTCACACTGCTTCCAACTTTAGAAGACAATTGACAGATTTATTTAGCTGCTGAATGCACCCAGCGAACCAGATCACCTTCATGTTCAAAGTACCTTATGTTGGAGAGCACTTTGTCAAGCTTTGTCTGCATTTTTTCATCTGTAAGATTCCCGCCTTTGCTTTGACATTCCTCGAACACCTGCATAAATAAGAAAATCGCCATTATTTATGACTACTAAATAATATCATGCCTGCTTCCAGTGCAAAAGAAAATTAGTCAGGCACAAGGGTGAAGGTTGGATTATGTGCCTTAATTGTTCGTCTGAGTGAATGTATGATGAAACAATAATTTAAAACAACACAATAAAATCCAGGATGTGAGCCCCTGATAAATAAATAACCAATACCTTTCACTCAGTTATTACCAACTATTAAGAGAGCATTATGGAAAACTGTGAATCAGATCAAGTAGGTGCAGTATCTGGTACAGGGCCAGGCACACTGCCACTATGTAGTGAACACAAACATGTTATGACTTTGGTTTTTATCTTTGTTACGAAAGATCTGTAAAACCGTTCCATAGTATATCTGTCTTGGACTCTTGGGGCAATTTGCTCAGACGTGAGAAACAAAACATGCGAAACTTAAAAGTGTGGAGCATTTTAGGGGCCTGGCTTGTCATCTATACATCTCATGCGGCATGATCACACTCACAGTAAAGCACTCAATACTGGCCATAACAAGGCTAGCAATGGGGCTCTTCGATTTTCCACTTCTGGCTACCTGTGGGCTGCCAGAGCCAGCCAGGGAGCCCTCGTTTTTCTCGGGCTGTTCCGCCCCCCCCCCCCCCCCCACCCCCACCCGGGCGCACTTCCGGTTGGCGTTCGTTTTTCTCGGGTTGGACGTTCTGGGGACCCGCGGGGAGCCCGCGGATCGCCAGACGCTTCCAGGACAATATAGTCGTGGTAGCTTTCTGGAAGGTTTTGGGCAGGTTTCGGGCTAGCAGACGCCGAAAAGGTACGATGCGCGCTCGGTGCCATCTTTGTGGATTGTAATGCGGGCGCTTGAGGACTGCTCCTTCGCTTGTCATTACGCGTGACGTTATCTTCTAAAGCCTGTTCCGCCTTGCGAGATGAGGCGATTACGAGTGGCGGCGAGTGTTTGAAGCTACTGTTCATCGCATTTGTTATGTTTCCCGTGAAGCTTCCTCCTGTGAACAACGCAGTAAACTGTTGCCTGTTGTCTGCGTCGTGCACATGCCTTAAAAGTTATGTACGTAGTACACGTTCGTACGCACGCATGGAGACAACTTTGAGTTAATCTTTTTTTCGTAGTAGTCGTTTGTGAAGCTGTGCCTGCTTTCTGTGCACTTAGCGAAGAGGATTGTGATCGAACTAGCTCGCTCCGTCGTATGTTTGCGTACGTGAACCTCTTAGAACCACTGTCCTGACTACTCGATTGATCTTCGATCGGGATAGAAGGCCCTAGATCGCGACTGCTGGTGATGCTCGCTGGTCGCGAACGGCGTGCTAACCCATTTCCATCTATGAGCCAGCATATGTGATATGATATTATACGATACGGCACGAGAAAAAAAAAACGGAGAATGGATTCAGAAATGTATACATCCTTTCGTCGCCCATTTCATCGTTGGTTTTGCCTTTTTGACATCGTAATAATGCCGCGCAGTACATACTATGACCTAGTAGGACATTCGTTAAGTGCCACTTAAGACTAGAAAACAAGCCAAGGCAAGTTCTAAAAATGGGTCGAGAACATGTCATGCAAATGTTTATTTTATAAATGACGCGCACTCGTGGTACCGATACCTGTGCATATCATAAACTTTAGACGAAAACGTAAGTTGGTCAACGTGTGCTTGCGACGCATGATACGCGATAGCTGAGCAGGTATATATCATCAAGCTCTTTTGGGGACACGATCACTTTCGTGTGACTTCGCGTCGTGTTGTGCAGTGACCGATACATGTACTAAAGAGACGTGAGCTTGTCAAGCCATCACCGTCGCGGCAGCTCACCTTGCATCGTTCTCAAGGCAGCATGCGCCAGCTGGCTGTTTCGTTCGCGGACGCGGCGAGTGATCGTGCGAGCGTACGAAGTCGTACCCCAAATGCGTACGCTCGAGGATATTATTTCAGCTTATTGGCGAGCTTAGCTACGTATTTCCAAGCGGACAATGCAAAAAAAACCAACATACACGTGGCGCATTGTTTTGTTCGCTGCCATGACAGTAGAGTTTGTTTACGTTTACGCTGGCTGTCCTGCATTCGATTTTGCGACCTTCGGGCTGTCGCCAGGCGTGCGCGTAGCCAGCCTACGTCATTCCCTATCAGAACCGGATGCAGCAGTAGCTTTCGGGGAGCCCGCGGGTCTCCAGAACCAACTCAGGAATCCGAAAATCGAAGAGATCAATGCTCATGTCCAGGTTATTAAAGTGAACAAACAAGGTCTAACATACTGTATTTACAGAAATAGGAAAGCAGCAATCACACTGTAATTAACTTTAAATAGCTGAAAAGCTTTAGTAACGTGGGGCTGATTCCAACAGGGCGCAAGAGAGGGCACCACCGCCTCCTTGAGCGAACGAATACTCTCGCCCCTGCGCCGCCTCTGCCTTGGCGCGTCACTACTTGGCTGTATCTGATGGGAGGGGGAAACATACTGACAGAACTTGCTGCAGGCGAGGCATTTCTCAACTGCCGCAACAAGCAGGAAGTCAATAAAACACAGCAAATAGTACCCCATAGCTCACACACCGAGTTTGTGAATCTGTCTAACAAGATTCTACTTGAACCTCGGAAACACTACATGGTAACCTCAAACATATGTGTCATTCATGCTTTGGTAAAAGAAGCAGTGGTAACTCTGTGAACAGGAATTGATGAAAGCCCATGCGACACACTTTCTCAGTTTTCACAGTACTGGAACTATCTTACGTTTATTGAATGCGCTGTAGTGAAGAGAGGGCGGGCGATGGACGAAACACACGAGCACATAAGCAAGCCACAGAGTCAATAGCAGCAGGACACACGAGCTCGCGCTTATCCGGATTCAGGCTGTTTGATGCCCGCCGCTCTTCGATGCTGTACATGTGACGTCTCTCAACTTTTGCTGAAGGCTACGCGTTAATAAATCACGACCCACGGATAGAGGTACGTGAATTTTCAGTACCAACTCAGACCTTCGCTCCCGGAAACTCCCCCTCTGGTTCTTGACTAGGTTACCAACATGGTCGAAGAGACCTTTCCAGTCTGGACCTTCGGCAGTCCATGTTAACTGAGGCGCCGTGTATCGCCGACAAGATCTGCCTATCCTCAGTGGCTCAAGTGACTCGGACATCGATGAGTCGCTGTCAAAATACGAACGTGTCAGTGCCAGCAACAAATGAGATGCCCAAACGAAGCTGTAGGTTACGTCAAGTTCTATCTTATGGACATCGCTCAAGTGCAGTACCACAAGAGGAACATTCCCACCTGGTCGGTCTTTAAGACTGACCAGGTATCCTATGGACATCGCTCAAGTGTGGTACCATGAGATGAACATTCCCACCTCGTCAGTCTTTAAGACTTCCATCACGGATGTTTTCGGTCGGCCATTGGCTCACAAGCTTCTGGCAGAACAACGCTTGCGTCAACAGGTGCAGTACCCCGGCGAGAACTTCAAGGGGTACATTGAAGACGTGCTGAACGTTTGTTTGCAACCGTGCCAACCACACCATGACTGAAGAGGACAAAATCAAGCACATCCAGAAAGGTATCGAAGGCGATGCTTTTCAGATGTTGCTCGCAAGGAATCCCACCATAGCCGCCGCACTGGTGCCATTGTGTTAGAGCTTTGACAATCGCGTAGGCAGCGCTCAATTGTACACCAAGCCCTTATGCTGGGCGACTCACTATCGAGCTGGCATTGCACGTTGCTGCTCGTCCTGCTAATCAACAGCCTCTGCCATACACCATCACGGAATTTATTCGCAAGGAGGTAGCACGCCAAATTTTGCTACTATCTCTCACAAACAAGCGAGGACAAACTTTTGCTCCTGACCTTAAGCCCTTTATTAGAACCCAAATTACTTCCCTATTATCTATGCCTCAAAAACCACCTGTCACAGCACCGCTCATTTACGCTGCAGATCCCTCCATTGCCCCCAACCATGAATTTGTGCCTCTTCATGGCATGGGGCCTAAACCACTTTTTCCATAGCCAACATGCGTAGCGAATGCCTGACAACCAGCCCATCTACTCTGCTTATGGCATCGCAGGCCATGTGCTCGCCACTTTGGCGATGATCAACTTCTTATCTAACACCATGGTCACACCTGATTCCTCGTTGTCAGGCACACCACCCCAGGTAGCCGCTAATAACCATAGTATTATCACTGATCACCATCTTCCTTGACGACGCTCTCTGTCATGTATGCATTGCTACTCCACTACAGAAGAAAACTGATTGTTGCAGTTCCGGAGGAAAGAGCTGCATGCAAGCCAACATTCCAAGGTCTCTATGTGTTGCGCCGCAAAATGTTATAGACGTCAATGTCACGGGAACCGTCCCCGTAGTGCTCATTGACACGGGGGCTGCCGTTTTCGTCATTTTTAGGACATAATGGCACAGGATCAAGAAGTTGAAGAAGTCGCTATCAGGACTAATGCACTGTACTGCGAGCTCAGAGTGATATTCCCCTTCAGCTGTTCGCACTGTACAAGTCATCATACAAGATGCACTTTACATGACTCGAGTTGTTCGTGCTGCTGTCCTGCTCTCACAACATTATTCACGGGTGGGACTTCCTATCAAGTCATAGCACCACCATAGACTGCTCTCGTGCAGAGGTAGCCCTTAAGCCGCTGCAGACCTTTCCTTCAATAGAGCTTCCACACAAACTTGTAGTCACTGAGGATACAGATATTCAGTTTAAGGTAAGGTTGGTCCTTCGAAAGGTCTAGGGGATGCAAGAGGTCAACATGTTGTACATGCCCCGAAGATTCTCTTTGAAGCAAGGTAACACCGGATGACGAGTTGGCAAAGAGTATTATCGTAGAGCCAGAAGTAATCGATAACGCGGCAAAAGGCAGTCGTAAGCTGCAACGACGAAGAAATACTTCCGACGGGACAATGAGTGCTGTTCTATCCAATGCAGTCCTACACATCAGTGCTACAAAGAATAGATCAGTAAGTTGC